GAGTTGCTCCGATCACATGGTTTTTCACGTATGTTCCTGCAGCTGTGGCTTCTCCTGGTGTGCGAATCCGTGGTATTGTACGTCTGGTCCTACATGATGCCCATTTCAGGTGGCTCTAATCGTATGTGGTTTCCGTGTTCCTATATAGTGGGCTTCTCCTGGGGCACGAACCGTTTGTGCGTTACGTGTTCCCCTATAGAATGTCACTCCCATGCTGCTCCAATCCTACGTCTTTTACATTTGTTGCTGTAGATCGGGCATCCCCTGGGGTACGTGTCCTCCCCAGGAGGCCCCAGGAGGCTCCAGGAGGCTCCAGGATGCATCAGGAAGTCACAGGAGGCACCAGGAAGCCCCAAGAAGCGACAAGAGGCCTCAAGAAGTTCAAGGATGCCTCAGGAGGCCGCAGGACACCACAGAATACCCCAGGAGGCCCCAGGAGGCCCCACGAGGCCCGAGGAGGCACCAGGAGGCCCCACGAGGCCCCAAGTGGCCCTAGGAGGCCTCAGGAAGCCCCAGGAGCGGCTCCATTCCTACTTGTGTTACGTCTGTTGATATAGATTGGGGCCCTCCTGGGGCACGAATCATTCGTGGTTTACGTATGTTCATATAGATTACTCATCTCCTGTGGCTCCAATCCTAAATGGTTTATGCATGTTCCTACAAGTTTGGCCTCTCCTATCCGTGACGTGGCTGGCCGTATCACGGTCCGGCCACTGCATGAGATCTTCTGGGACAACCAACGAAGCGCAAGGGCTTCGCACGGCGTTTGCATGAGCATCCCTATTCCTTGCTTCACCATGGAGGGAGGGATCGCGTAGCCATGTCGAATCAGTCGCGCTCAGTCATGCTCAGGCCACAGACGTGCAAACACACTCATCCCTGGGCTTAGACATACTCAGACTCATGCGCACAGACCCACTCGTACGACTGAGGCTCATTCACACTCCAACTCATTCACACTTATATTCACTCACAGTCTGGAACACTCTCCCAAGCCCGAGACAACACTCACTCCCAGTCTCATTCACATTTAAATTCACAAGCCCGCTTATATTCGAAAACTCTTACGTCTAGACAATCACGGCCGAACGGTCCATGCACCTAGATGCACCTATGGGGGGCTCCACGCAGTAAATAATTACTCGCACACCTCTGGACCTTGCTCCTCCTTCTCCAGCTCCCCCTCACTTAGATTTACTCAGATCAACTCAAAGACTCATATCCAGACCCACTCGCACTCAGACTCACTCACACTCAGACTCACTCACCCTTAACACTACATTCAGACTCACTCAAGCCTCAGACTCACTCACATTCAGACTCACTCACACTCACACTCACTAATACTCACACTCACCATCCCTCCTCTTCCTCGGCTCACCCACCAGTCAGACTCACTCAAATTCACACTCACGATCGCTCCTCTTCCTAGTTCCAACTCGCTCATTTCAATCACTCACACACAGACGCTGAGTTCAGCACCCCAAGGGGCAGGGGGTATTTCACTGGCCGTTCGTGCCCAGATTGCGGGGATGTCTCAAGCGGCTTGCCAGCTTGCGTGCCAAACACCCTCTGCTTTCAGAGCAGCTTGTGAGGATGTCTCAGGCGAGGCGCTGGCTTCAGCACCCCACGGGGCGCCGCCAAGGGGTATTTCACGGGCCCGTTCGCTCCCAAATGTTGCCGATGTCTCAAGCGGTTTGCACGTTTGCGTGCCCAACATCCTCCGCTTTCGGACCAGCTTGTGAAGATGTCTCAGGCGAGGCGCTGGTTTCAGCACCCCAAGGGGGAGCCGCTAAAGAGTGTTTTACGGGCCCGTTCGCGCCCAGATTGCAGGGATGTCTCATGCGGATTGCTTATTTGCGTGCCCAACACCCTCTGCTTTCGGACCAGCTTGTGAGGATGTCTCAGGCGAGGCGCTGGCTTCAGCACCCCAAGGGGGAGCCGCCAGGGGTTATTTCACGAGCCGGTCGCGCCCAGATTGCGGGGATGTCTCAAAAAGTGTACGCGTTTGCGTGCCCAACACCCTCTGCTTTCGGAGCAGCTTGTGAGGATGTCTCAGGCGAGGCGCTGGCTTCAGCACCCCACGGGGGAGCCGCCAAGGGGTATTTCACAGGCCTGTTCGCGCCCAAATGTTGCCGATGTCTCAGGCGGTTTGCCTGCTTTGGCACCGAGGCTAGATGCCTCTGGACCTCACTCATTCACTCACCTGCTCCTGCTTCTGCCCCTCCTCACTCAGACGCATTCACACTCAGCCGTACTCAACAGCACCTCGTCCTCACGCAGTCTCCTTGACAGTCAGACATCTTCATACTCAGATACTCAGGTCTCACTCATGCCCAAACTCGCTCAGATTTACCCTCACTCACAGTCGAACTCATTCACTCTCAGGCGCGCTCTCACTCAGACTACACACACTCAGACTCACTCACACACAGATTCACCCACCCTGAGATTCGCTCATTCTCAAACTCACCCGTACGTAGACTCATACTCACCATCCCCATACTCCGACTCACTCGTACTCAGGCTAACTGATACTCAGACTCACTCAAACTCAGACTAACCTAACCCACCCTCAGACTCACTCATACTCACACTCACTCGTACTCAGACTGACTCATACTCAGACTCATACTCATACTCCCTCACGCTTAAACTTGCCCACACTCAAACTCACTCGCACTCAAACTCATTCCTACTCAGACTTACGTGAAAATACCCAATCATACTCAGACTCAGACTCAATCATACTCAAACTCAATGATACCTGGGCTCACTCACACTCAGACTCACGCACACATAATCTGCCCCCTCACACTCAGATTCCTTATCTTTTCTCTTTTGGTTGTCCAATGCTCCCTCGCTCTTTTGCCTGTGCTTCCCACATCTCTCCTCAAAGATGCCCAGAGGAGGAGGACGTCACCGAAGCCGTCGCTGTCGTTGTCGTTGTCGCGCCCGTCTTCTACGCGGACTCGCTCTCACACCCACATGCTCACAGACAGAGATCCTCAGCGAGACGTGGCAAGAGTATGAGATGCACATATAGGGATGTCCGCGTCGAGAAATGTCTTTAGAGTTTCGCATTCCCGCCATTTCAGGGTTCTGAACCCCGAGACGGCCCGAGAAGCCCCACAGGTTGGCCCAAGACGGCTGAAGATGGTTCTGAGAGAGCCCGCAGATGGCCCCAAGAGGGCTCCAAGATGGCCCAGCAGGACCCCAAGACGGCTCAAGAGGCCCTCAAGATGGGTCCAAGCGGGGCCGGAGAAGCCCACGAGGATGATTTCGCAGGAGGCTCCGGGAGCCCTCCCCCACAATGTGGCTCCGACGACGCCCCCCATGCCCCAGATAGGAGCCCTCAGAGGGCCCCAAAACGGACCCTGGAGCCGCGAAAAGGCTCCCATGAGGCCGCCGCCGAGGCCTCGAAGAGGCTCCCAAGAAGCCCCATACCAGACGCGGAGGACGAGGGGTACAAAACAAAAAAAAAAAAACTATACGCAAGCAACACGACGGGAAACGGGAAACAGCACATACAACATCGAAAGCCGCCCATATTCTCTTCTCGGAGTTGACGGAATGCCGCAAGCCTCTTGAATAATGTTGGAAACGCTCATTTACCCATCTGCCACATCATACCGAGCATCAGCCATGCCCCTAACCAGCACTGCATCTGCCATAGTGCGCACTACCACATGTGTCTCTTAGGCCGTAACTCGGGGCACAGAACCACGGGAGGCCTATCGGAGCGACAACACTGTCCTGAAACTCCAGGCCAGCAAATCCATCGAAACGGACGGATCATTCCTCGTGCGAGGATGGTGGGGGAAGAACGGGCGGAGGAGGCGGAGGAATGACGGGTACAGACGTAGGGGGGGGGGCTGGGAGGAAGTGCAAGGGGACGGGGAGCGGGAAATACGGGGAGGGGGCCCTCGACAGCGAATCCGCGTGGTCCTGGGCGGAGTGGGCCATTGGGTCCATCTCGGCGATCGCTGGGCGAGTGCAGGTCGATGCGTCCCCCCCTGAGCCCATCCCCCCACTCTCTTGCCACTCAGGGGGGGAGAGGAAAGCGGCGAGGTTTGCTCCGCCCTGCCCCAAGCGGCGCCAGGCGAAGAAGTCGCAGCAGGCGCGCGATGCGGAAGACGGTGGTATCCGCCGAGGCTCTCTCCTCCACAAGCCCGCCAACCCCCTCCTGGAGGTGTCCTCCCCCTTGATGCTGTTGAAAGAAGACACATGTTTGCACCATTTCGGGTTGCGCTGCGAATCGGATGGCACTGCTGCTCCCCCGCGCCCCCGACTTTCAGATTAGTAGTTGTGACATCTCCTGGGGCCCGTCGAACAACAAAAGAAGATACATCCCATTTCAGCGTGCGCGTCCGCTCTCAATGTTAAGGTCGGGGACGGGGGGGTCGTATCACCAGTTGTCGTGCCGTCCAGGTGGTGCAAACTTGTTTCTTTCAACCGTGGCAGCACCGAAGCAAGGTCAGCGCATCCCGCGGAGGAGACCGAGCGCCTGAGGAGGTGGCCCAGGGTGGGATGGGAGCAAAGACCAGCCTGGCAACTGAGCCTCAAGACAAAACCTTCAGGGGGCGCCGCTGCGGCCCTCGCGAGCCACCGAAAGCCTGAACTATACCAGAAAGGAAAGGTTGAAGCACACTTCCCTCAATGTCTGCCCTCGAAATAATCGATGTATCATTTGCCGCCCCTGATCTTGCGGTGCTTGCAGAGCCCCTTCCTACGTTGGCATACCTTCCCACTGCCCTTGCGCACGCGCTCGCAGAAGAAGCGCTACAGCGAGCAGCACGAGCAATCGCAGCCCTAACGCCGCACACACACACACACACACACACACACACACACACACACACACACACACACACACGCACACGCACACGCACACGCACATCGCTCCTTTGCCTTGATGGGGAAACTGGGCCAGGTCAGCGTTGACCAAACGCCGGCCCCGCCCAACTATCACATTGAGCTCAAAACAGATGCAGGTGAACCTCTGTGGTCTGACTGCCTCCATCGCTCTGCCCCCATATACCTCGGCCTCTGTCTCGGCGAACATTCTGCCCCCTACCTCGGAGGCTTCCCTTCAGACTTCACCCGATGCCCTCTGCACCCCCAAGTTCCCTGGGAATCTTCGCAGAGCTCGCCCAAACACTCCGATTACGTCTCCTCCAGGAAATAGGCGGAATGGCGGGTGACCAGTGTATTGGAGCGTCTCGCCGAGGGTCTCGACGAGCCAGCCGGCAACCACTACCATGTCGAACAAATTCCACGCATTGCAGAAAAACCTCAAACGCAATACCATGATTTTGAGAGTCATTTCGATAGTGAATATGACACCGAAGAAAAAACCAAGACCCTCAAATAGATACGTGGCCCCAGGCCACGGGTCAGGATTATGGTAGAACCCGTAGTTGAGAGAGCTGCCCAGCTTAAGACCCTGGTGCTGGATCTCGAACGCCATCTGGATGCCATTCAGTATAATAGCGATACCAATGGCGACCTCGGGAAACCACCGAAGTCGGGCGCACGCTAACATGGATTGCGGATCCGTGGATCTGGCGCGTGGGTACCAGATCCACGGATCGGGGAACGTGCCCCCTGAAACATGAGGTCATTGCCGCCTGACTTGACGACGGAGCTCGCCGAAGCTGCATGGAAGCTGGGCCCGTCGCTGATCCCGTGCCTGAGTGCATGCCTGCGCCTCCCCGAAGGCGGTGCGCCCATACCCGACTGCCGCTCGCCCTCCCCGTACCCCCAGGACGAGGGGAGCGGGAGCGCAGCAGCAGCGGATCGGCAGGCGGACAAGGAAACATCGGCGGCGCACCCTGGGGGGATGTTCGGGGTTCTCTTGCGCCTTCGTCGGTTCTGGTCGGTTTTCTGGCCTCGGGGTGCTGCCCAGCAGCTGCGCCTCGTCGAGAGCGCTCGGGCGGGGCCCGAAGCTCGACTCGTACTGAACAACCGCCGGAGGCCCGAGTTGTGACCCTAAAAGTCAGACTCGGCGGCGTGCCCAGAGGAGGAGGAGGAGGAGGAGGAGGAGGAGAAGGAAGAGGAGGAGGAAGATACAGGGGAGGGCTTCCTCAGAAGGCTCAGAGGGCCTCTGGCCTTCCGAGAAGTCTTCTGAGCCTTCTGCGAAGCCCCGCCGCCCTCTGAGAAGGCCCGTCCCCTCCCTCCCCTCTCCCCACTCGGCGCGTCGCCGAAATAGAGGGAGGGGGAGGAGCTTGGGCTCCGGAGCCTCGAAATGGGTGCTGCCCACGAAGTCGTCCCAGCTAGCCATCGGGGTGGTGGAGCCAGAGACCGCGAACAGCTTCGAGGAGATCCTCCACATGACCTTCTTGTGGAAGCTCTCGCCACCGTGCGACATGCTGTCCTGGAGACTCGGCAGCGATTCCCTCTTCAAGAATGGCCCGAGGAGGGGACTGAAGAAGAAAGGGGCTGGACGGAGGAGGGGAATGAGAAAGGAAAAGGAGGAGGGGGAGGAAGAGGGCGAGACCGTCACCACTTGCCAAGAAGATGGGTGACGAGAAGGAAAAGGCTAGAGGAGAGCACCGTGCAGAGAGAGGGCCAGGACAAGGATGAGCAGCAGCAGCCGCAGCTGAGACGAGGACGTGGGAGGAGAACGAGGAAGACGAGGAGGGCATATACCGCACAACTCTTGAACTTAGCACAACTCGTCGCTGCGCTCAGCACCCAAGTCATGAATCTCGAGGCTTGTGCCAAGGACGTGAGGGACGCCATGAGGGAGACATCCTGGGAGCGAAATCCGCCAAGAGAAAGTACTTCCTGTCATGGCGTGGAGAAACTGTTGGACCAACAGTGCTCCAGGTGTCAGTGCGCGATGGCCCGCAACGCACCTTTACAGAGGTCTGCACTGAGAACCGCTCAGACCAGCTAAGTAGCCCGCCCCTCCAGGTGGCAGCACACACTAGCCATCAGCGCATCCCTCACAAGGGAGCATGAGCTGCATAGCCGTGCGGACCAACAGAGCTGCCTCGTTCTGCCAAGAGGCAGTGTGCGTTTGCCCTGGACGCACCGTTCTCAGTGCAGCGTTGGTGCATCGGCCTGACCCACTGGGCCGCCTCCCCCCACGTGGAGAGGCTAGACTACACCGCCCTCTGCTCACGAATGTCGACACTCGCTGCAGGCAAAACGACAACCGCGAGGCAGAAATCCTACAGCATAGATGAGCCCGTAGCGCCCCGCGTTGCCGACGCTCCCGGCTCCCCTACTAATAGAACCTGTGCCTGTGCCGCCACTTCCGCCGCTTCCGCCAACGGATCGGCCGCGAAGGCACCAGGATTCGGCGGCACGCCCAGGGGGGGAAAGTCTACACGCTCTGGCGTGCTCGTCGGTTTCCAAAGGTTTTCCAGCCTTGAAGGCCTCTCCAGCAGCTGCGCCTCGCCGAGACCGTCCCTGGGGGTACCCGAATCGTCCCGAACAGCTGCCGGGAGCCCAAGCTAGGACTCCCGAAGGCCTGCCGCCGCGCGGGGGGGGGAAGGGGGCGGGCCTGCTCGAAGGCTCCAACGGCCTCTGCCTCTGGTCTTCTGCGGAGCTTCCTGGGCCTTCTCCGAAGCCTCGCCGTCCTCCGAGAAGGCCTGCCCTTCTCTCTTCCCCCCTCCGCGCGCCGCCGAGTCTGGTAAATGCTGGTGTTCGGGGCCCTGCTCTACACTACCGTGCGGTCAAGAAGCTCATCGCGCTAGCTGTAAGGTCACATGGGCGGTCTCACCAATCTCGTCGTGCTTCTCCGGAGCTGAGTCCAGGATAGAGCTCGAGAGGATGTTCACCCTTGGCGAACTAGGCACCGAATCAAAGCGTTTGTGGATTCGGATTCCCGCAGGCGGCAACGACGTCGGATAGCCCAAGTGGCTCGACGATTGCTTGTCCATTCGCCGTCACGGGCGACTGCGGCGTGAGCCCGCTCGCGAAACGTCGCACATCGCGATGACATGCTCGACATACCTGAACAAACAACGCTCCAGCTCGCAAGTCTCGAGAATATACTGACATAGATACATCAGAACTGAATCAATTAATAATAATGTGTGTGGCGCCAGGGTGCCGGTAGCATGCGCGACGCGCTTTGAAGTAGCACAGAAGTACGGCATCGCGCTATTCATGCGATGGGCTGTGTAGTAAGAATAACAGCCTGCTTTCAAAGCTTGACGGCCCAAGAGGCCTCCGAGAGGTCCTCCAGGAGGGCCTGAAGAGGCTAAAATCATTGATACTATTTTGGTGTTTTTAGGTTTGTCGTATTTGCTCCTTTTCGGTTTTCCGATGACCCAAGACGGCCCAAGAGGCCCTAAAGATCGCCCCCACAGCGCCCAAGAGGCATTCACGATGGCCTCAGGACTGCCCAAGACAGCGCGAAGAGGGCACAAAGACGACCCAAGAGGCCTCCAAGACTCCCAAGATGGCCTCTAGGACGGCCCTGGAGCATTCCAAGAGGGGCCCAAATCGGCCTAGAAAGGCACCCGAAACGGCTTCCGACGGCGTCAGACGGGCCAGGAGCCCACCAAAATGGCCGAAGTTGGCTCGAAGCCGGCCCAAGACGGCCAAAGAGGCCTCCAAGAGGGCCTCCAGGAAGGCCAGAAAAGGCCCAACACAATGGTTTTCCTGAGGTTGTTTGTTTAAATCTCTCTCTCTCTCTCTTTCTCTCTCTCTCTCTCTCTCTCTCTCTCTCTCTCTCTATATATATATATAGATATAAGGTTTTGATATTTGCTTCTCGTCGGCCTTCCGACGGCCCGAGACGGCCCAAGATCCCCAAAGATCACCCAAAGATCGCCCAAGAGACCTCCAAGATGGCCTCAGAACGGCCCAAGAGACACAAAGACGGCCCCATGACCCAGGAGGCTTGTAAGACGCCCAAGATGGCCTCCAAGACGGCCCTGGAGCATTCCAAGAGGGCCCCAAGACGGCCCAAAGATGCCCCTCAAACGGCTTCCGACGGCGTCGGACGGGCCAGGATCCCACCAAAACGGCCGAAGATGGCCCTCAGATGGCCCAAGACGGCCCAAGAGGCCTCCAAGAGGGCCTCCAGGAAGCCCGAAAAGGCCAAAAACATTGATTTCCCCAGCGTCTTCGAAGGATTGTGGCATTTGCTTCTTTTCGGCCTTCCGACAGCCCGAGACGGCCCAAGTACCCCCAAAGATCTCCCAAGAGGCCCAAGACTGCCCCAAGAGGCCCCCGAGACGGCCCAAGAGGCCTCGAAGACGCTCAAGATGGCCTCCAAGACGGCCCAAGAGCCCTCCAAGACGTCCTCCAAGAAGGCCCGAAAGGGTCAAAATGGCCTCCAGACGGCCAAGATGACCTTCAAGATGCCCACGTGTTCCCCGAAGGCTTTCCAAACCCATTCGGGGAACACATGGTCCGATAGCTTGGCAGGTCTGGCCTCAACGTTTGGCCACACTGGCGCTTCCAAAGAGGCAGGGGGCGGCGGTGTTTCGCCGTAGGCGTCTTCGATCCGCCGCCCCCTGTTGATTCATCGCAGGGGTGCCTGGCGTGTTTCCACTCTTTCGCTTTTGGTTCTTTTCCAAAAGGACGCCTCCTGAGGTTTCGGCCCGTCCCGCCGGAGATGCGTAACGTGTGGTTGCAGAGGGTGTTTCGGCTCCAGACGGCTCCAAGATGGCCTCCAAGATGGTCAAGATGGCCCAAGATGGCCTCCAAGTTCGTCCAAGATGGTCCAAAATGGCATCGAAGACGACCCAAGAGAGTCCAAGATGCCCCCAAGTTCGCACAAGAAACCTCCAAGACGGCCCAGGACGGCGCAAAGGGCCTCCAAGAGGCCTCCAAGACGGCCCAAGAGGCCTCGAAGAGTTCCTCCAGGACGTCCCGAAGAGGTTAAAATAAGTGTTTGTGTCAATGGTTTTTGAAGGATTTTGGCTTTTGCTCCGTTTCGGCCTTCCGACGGCTCAAGACGGCCCAAGAGGCCAGCAAGATCGCCCCTAAGAGCGCCCAAGAAGCCTCCAAGATTGCTCCAGGACGCCCCAAGATGTCCCCAAGATGGCCCAAAGAGGGCCCAAAGACGACCCACGAGGCCTCGAAGACGCCCAAGATGGCCTCCGAGACGGCCACAATGGCCCCAAGTGGGCCCAAGAAGGCCCCTAGATGTTTCCAAGACGGCCCAAGATGCACCCAAGACTGCCCAAGATGGCCCAAGACAACCCAACACCTCCCAACAGGCCGCCAAAACAGTCCAAGAGAGCCCAAAGAGGCCCCAAAAGAGAGCCCCAAGAGGCCAACATCATTGTTTCGCTGTAGGTGTTTGAAGGATCAGGGGGGCTGCTCGTTTGCGGCCTTCCGACGGCCCACGAGGCCATCAAGATTACCCCGAGAGCGCCCAAGAAGCCTCTAAGACTGCCCCAGGATGGCCCAAGAGAGGTCTTCAGGACAGCTCAAGATGGCCTTTAAGACGGTCACGTTGGCCCAAGATGGCATCCAAGATGGCCCAAGATGGCCTCCATGTCCGCCCAAGATGGTCCACGATGTCCCCAAGACGGCCCAAGAGAACCCAATATGCATTCAAGTTCGTCCAAGAAGTCCCCAAAACGGCCCAAGATGGCTCCAACATTGCCCTAAGACTGCCCAAGAGAGCCCAAAGAGCCCTCCAAGAGCTCCACCAGGAAGACCCGAAAGGACGACATTCATAGATGTTCCTCTTGTGGCCTCCAAGATGGCCCCATGACAGCCCAAGAGATTCCCGAAAGGGCCCCAAGATGCCCCCAAGATGGCCCAAAGAGGGCCCAAAGGCGGCCCAAGATGGCATCCAAGACGGACAAGATGGCCTCCAAGATGCCTCCAAGTCGGGCGAGAAGGCCTCCAAGACAGCGAAACGTGCCTCAAGATGCACCCAAGACGGGCCCCAGATGGCCTCAAGACTGCCTTAGACTGCCCAAAAGGCCCGTAAGAGGCTTCCACGACGGCCCAGGAGACCTTCAAGACGTCCTCCAGGAAACCCGAAAACTCAGAAACCACCTGGTCCGATAGCTCGCCCGACTCCGTGTTTCCCGAAAGCTTTCGAAACCCACTCGGGGAACGCGTGGCCCGATGGCTTGGCTAAGCTGAAGCCCAGCTTTCGGCCTCGCAGTCGCTTCAAAGGCGGGGGGCGGCTGCCAAGGGCGGGCCAGTCCCACTCCTCAGAATCCGCCGAACACTGGCGCTTGTCCAGCACGCTCGACCGCTCGGAATCCCGTCCTTGGCGGCAGGCGGACCAAAAAATCTCCTACTGGACTTGCGAGTTGCTACCCCTCCCCCACCTCTCCCTCCTGCATCTTGTCCCCGCGCACTCCTCCCATCCCGCCTCTCCTCTTCGCGTGTTCATTTTTCCTCTCCTCACCCGCCTGCTGCTGCGGTTCCTCCTCCTCCTCCTCCTCCTCCTCCTCCTCCTCCTCCTCCCCTTGCAGGGCATGTACTTTTTGTCCTCGAGTGAGCTTGGTCCAAAGTTGGTCATGATGTGCAGAGAGAGAGGGAACGAGAGATACACGTAAACTAGGACAGGGAGGCAGAATAACAAAAATCCGCTACTGTGCCTCCCTGGCAACTTGACGCGTGGTAGAATGCCAAGTGCTGTCTCGAACGGTTCCTGTACTCTTTTAAGGGGCACCCACCTCCTCTGGACCCGCCTCGCTGCGGCCATGCCCCCGAGGGCCCCGAGTCGCCGAACGATCGCTCGAAGACGCCCAAGATGGCCTCATGATGGCGCAAGAGGCTTGCAAGGCGCCCCCACAGGCAAAACTCATTTTAGATTTGTTGTAAGAATTTGGGCGGTCTCGCCTCTCCGGCTTCCGACGTTCCAAGACGGCTCAAGAGGCCCCCAAGACCACCCCAAGACAGCCCAAGAGGCTTCCAAGAGGGCCCCAAGACAGCTCAAAAACGACCCAAGACGGCCCAACAGGCGCCCGAGACGGCCCCAGGAGGCCCCCAGGAGGCCCAAACATTGCCTCCGAAAGGCACCCCCGAGAGGCCTCCCATGAGATTCCGACGAACGCCCACAAAGCTTACAACACACAACCCACGCACGGTGGTTGGGCTTAGAGTGAAAACACACACACACACACACACACACGCACACGCACACGCACACGCACACGCGCACGCGCACGCGCACGCGCACGCGCACGCGCACGCGCACACACACACACACACACACTCTCTCTCTTTCGTCGGCAACTAGGCAGGATCACCGCACATACATACATACACACATACCTGTTTGCGTCGGCCGCTAGGCGGAAGGCGACTGCTCCAGCGGATAGGCAACAAAGAACACGCTGCATGCAAATGAAGGCCGCAATGCACGGAGAAGGTAGAGTCCCAGCGCGACAGGAAGTGAGGAAGCCGGGCCCACTCAGGCGAGCCGCCGGCCGCGGCACGGGAATCGCCGAGGGGGGGAACCAGCGTCGGCACTGAGCTGCAGTGAGCTGCACTGAGCTGAAGCTGGGGGGGGAGCAACCCAGCAGACTGGGCGGCCAGTGGGGGAGCACCACAAGGGAATCAGAGACTCGACCCAGTGAACTGGTAGGCGCGGCCCCAGGGATGAGCCATAACGCCGAGACCTGGGGGCCTACGAGGCGCGGCGGGGGGCGAGAGGCAGAAGCGGGCAGGCGCGAGAACGCCAAACGGGCGCCACCGTGGCCCAGCGAGCAACGGGGCGGGCGACCCAGACAAGGGCCCATTCCTGGGGAGCGGCGCGGAGCAGAGGCCGCCAGAAGAAGGCGGGCCAGCAGACCGAAGGGGGCGGGCAGAGGGCCGAGACCAGGGGGCCTGCGAGGCGCAGGGCATGGGCGCGGGGCGGCGACGACTCAGCGATGCGCCAAATGCAGCAAACGCGAGCCGGTGGGCGAAGGAAACAGGAGGGGCCACGCCAAATGGGAGAGCGCCGGGCCCAGGGAGAGCAGGAGGCAGGGCGAGCGCCACGCACGCACGCACGCACGCACGCACGCACGCACGCACGCACGCACACACACACACACACACATATAGATATATATATATATATATATATATATTGCGTCGGCGGCTAGGCAGAGTGGCTGCGCTGGCGGAAGGGGCAAATGCTGGTCGAACAAACACGCACTGATACACGCGCACGGATATTGAGAGAGAGACAGAGAGAGGGAAGGAGGGAGTGCGACATCGAGATACAGAAAAGGTGCATGCATGCACGTGCTCCCCCACCCCCGTCGCGGAGCAAGGGGAAGGGAGGGCTGCTCTTTTTCTTGAGCAAAAGAGGGCTGCAGGATTTCGGGTCTTCGCCCAGACAGTTTGATTATATTTGGATATACTCGTATACATATATAAACAAAAAGCGCAAGCTTCCCAGCACCCCTCTTCGGGCGCAGGGAAGCGGCTCGGCCTCCAGCCGAGAAGCGCGAGCAAGGCACCAGCTTTGTGGTCCCTTCCGCGGGCCTTCCGCCGGACTCCCCGCGGGCCCTCAGCCCGTGCGCGGGTCTAACCGCCGTGGGCAGGCGCGGGACGAACCGCAGCCTCGTCGTTTGCTCAGCCTCGGCTGTCGCAGCGCTCCCAGCGACAATCCGTCCAGCTCCCTGGGTGGATCAGCTTCGAGCCATCGGGGCGATCTCGGCACTCGCTCTTGAACGCCTCAATCCACTCCTGCGCGGCCTCAGGACTACCCAGGTCATGTAGGTTGATCCTGATCAGGGGTCCGCGCGTCGTAGCCGCCACTCTCAGCTGCTCGATTTACTTGGCCTGGCGATCCGATAGGGCATTGCCCTTCTTGATCAGCCCCATGATCAGGTCGTCTTTGAGACCGCTCACTGCTTCAAATCGACCTCGAGAAACGCGTTGAAAAGCCTGTGCCTCGCTCCTCCGTCGCATCGTGCCGGGCGAGGCTCTGCGCCAAGTCCTTGTGCACTCATGGTCTTGACCTCCGTGTCAGTCCGGGTAGTCAGATAGACGTCGGCGTCTCCAGGAACGGGGTCAACCGCCTCCTGGATGAGGCCCCCCTTCAGGTAGCTCCTCGCGTAGCAACCGCACGCGCAAACCTTGGACAAACACTGCAGCGATCACCGCGAAGACACCCGTCTGCAGGATGAGCCAGAACTCTTCGCGATCCATGCAGTGGGGCACAAGTGCGGGGCATACCGGTGCCTGGCCTGGCTCCTCGTGCACCGTCACCTTCTCGCCTGACGCAGAAGTCGCGACTCCCGCGACAACTGCCATCGCGCTCAATCCCTTGAACGGTTTCCCGAACATGAGGTTCAGAGTGGCGCAGTGCGTCTCTATCGTCGACCACTCGCCGCACTTGGTGAGCATGTCTGCCGTCAGCTCATTGGCGTCCTCCTTCAGGAGCTCAAACGCCTTGAGCCGCAGCCGCTCTTGAATCCATAAGTACCTCAGTTCCAGGTGCCTGACCTTGCCCACGCCCACTCTGCTGCACATGCCCCGTCCCGCGGTGCTGCCGCTGTAAACCTTCAGGTCGCAGGGCCTCTGAGTCTCGATCAGGTAGGGATTCCACTGAAGTCCTCCGGCAGTCGCACTGCCAACAGCATACATCTCGGGTTCCCCTGGACTTAGAGCCATGGTGCTCAGCGTCACTGAGTAGCAGTCCCATATGTGGTCACCATACCGCACTGCTCCTCCGCTCGCGGATCGTCTCTGCAATTCGCTTGTAGGGGCCGCCCAATCTGCATCTCCGTCCACGCGAATGCCTCCAGGAGCACCCTGCAAAGGATAACACCAGACCAACACAGGCTGACCTTCATAGCACCGCCCAAGCCGCTGAACTCGCGCATGCATCAGAACGTTGGCGTTTGAGACGCGCTGCATCGCGGTCTTGCTGGCATACATCGTGCCGGACCTGTCCGAAGAGAGGTGAAGTGCCGTGCCTGCTGCACCTACAACTTCCCGGTCTAAGCTGTCTCGTCGTCCTTGTCCTGTAGCTAGGAGCTGGTTGCACCCTCGCTTCTGTGCCCACGGAATCATGAAATCCACGTGCTTAGGACCCGCTGTCCAAAAGAAGCCTGGATCCTCTGAGCCTGGCAGCTCGTCGGTGTAGTCGATGATCCTCTTGAGGTAGTTCGTCCACCCAGGTCTTCCAGGACGCAGTCTGGCACTCGCTGTGACCTCGAACTGCTGCTTCGGCAACTTGTCCAACTCGTCCAGGTGCTCGTCGTAGCCCTCGGCCAGAAGGTCATCTCCGCGGCAGATCGCTGCACTGTCCTCGTCGACGGCAGTGATGTTGGGACTCGCTGGAAAATAGGACACGTTGGGTGTCGCCGCCAAGCATTCCCAGTGGCCGTCGTCCATGGTAGTCCGCACCAGCTCCCCCCACATCTGCGATGCCTTCCCGGCGCCGTTCATGGCCTTCCGCAGCCGCCAGCACCTTCCAGGAGGGCACAGCTCGCGCCCAGGATGAACACAGATCATCACAGCAAGGTCGGCGTTGAAGAAAGCCTTCTTGACGTCCCAGACCTGGATCATCCGCTTGTGCTCTCCCGTCGAAGTAGGGCTCGATGCGGCGCGGCTTAACGTCGCCCTTACCATCATGAGCGGCGACGTGCCTTGGTGGTTGTCCTCGCGCACCTCGTGCTTGTTGATCTCCGTCGCTACGAACCTCCACCTGACTCGCCCCCCCTTCATGTGGGCTACGGGGAAGCCTCCGATATGCTTGCCGTCGGTCGCCGTCGACGTCGCCACCTCCACGTAGACCCCCTAGTCCTTCATGGCCTGCAGCTCATCGTCGCGACCCCTTCTGGTGCAGATCTTCGTCCAAGGGTTCTCCAGCGTAGGCCCCACTGGTCGTGCAACTCGGCACTGACCTCAGCCATCTGCTCGATATGCTCCTCTTGTGGTTCTCCGAGGTAACCCCTGACCGTGCCGACGTGGCTCATCAGGCAGCGCCTGCATGCACGCTCACCTCGGCGGCACTCCCTCAGCTGGCACCCCGACGACTGCTTCTCACACCTGTCCGAGCACCTTGAACTTCGCTTCGGGTGTGGACCCCAAATCGGGTCGAAAGTCTCGTCGTAGCCTTCCTCGCAGACTGCCAATTCACCGACAGAGAGCATACCAATGGTTGCTACTCTCGGCTTCTTGATATCCACTTCGGCCCTTGGTTCTCCTGGGGCACCTCGGTGGAAGTCGCTCCTGATCTGATCAGGTTCCGTCTGCGTGGCTGTCTGTGCTTCTGCCTCCCCCGGGGCAGGAGGCATGGCCACGTCCTCTGCAGCAGGTGCGGGCGCTACCGGTACCTCGCTGCTGCTCGACGCCGCTGCTGGCCCAGCTGCTGCCCCAGGCGCGGGGGCCCCCGCAGCCGGGGCTGGCACCGCCACCGTAGCCACTGGGTGCGCAGGGTCCCCCTCCAACTTCTCGCGCAGGAGGTCGGCCTGGATGGTCTCAAACCGCTGACGGCAGGCTGCCAAATGCGATCCATATCCAGCGCCACATGTCCTGCAGTCGTCGGTCGGGCCGCGAGCGTCGACCCCGCGCTCCGCGATGTACACGCTGCGTCCGATGGGCCCTGCACTCTCGTCAGGGACGTGCTTCCACGGCGCCGCCCTGATGTTCTGGATGAGCTCTGGCTGCCACCTAAACTCCCCCGGCATCCTCCGCGCGGCCCTGACCGTCTGCACGCCGCGCCCTGGGTCGATCACGAGGTGGGCGTCGTCCAACTCGTTCTTTCCAACCCAGGCCCCTTTCGCGAGGCGGGCCTCCCACTTGCCGCGTCCAGCAGCACCTCGGGCTGAGCTCCTATGCCAGACGTGCTCGCCCAACTCCGCGATCTCCCCACTGTACTCCTTGCCATGCAGCATATTGTGGGAAGAACCCCCGTGGCTTCGCGGCTGAAGCGCGGCGATCATCCAGCCCGCCGAGTTGACGAGCCAAGGCGCGATCGGATCCGCCATCTTGATCTCGCACCACAACTTGTGCTCCAGCTTCAGCTTGTAGGTCCGTTGTAAACCTGCTGCAAGCTTGTTGGCGCCCTCGGCGTAGCCAGCACTCTGCTTGGAGAGAGGCGGTGATCCCCGCGCCAAGGTAGACTGCGACCTGCGATCTCGAACTGCATTCGCCAGGGCCATCGCGGCAAGCCCCTGGCCCGCCTGCGATGCAACTGCCGTGCGACCCCAGACCTCAAGCACAGCTATCAGGAAGGACACCCTGCAGTCATCCAACTCTTGCTTGGCACACAGTGTCGCCTGCGCCAGGATCTTGCAATCGATCACGTTCAGAACCGCAATCGCCTGTTCGAGATCTGCTTTCGTTACTAGCGGCTTCTCACGGATGCTGAAGTAGCCTTCTTTGAGCTTGAACTTAGCCGCCAGCTGGTCAGTTCCAACGTAGACGACGTCGAAAACCACCTTCGGCACTTGCTTCTCGCCCGCTGGCCTCTGCGCGCAGCGTGGACGGTCGTCCGCGCGAGCTCCCACGCACAGTGGGCGCCAAGGGCGCAAAGGTAGGCGATGCCCTTCGCGCGCGCCCCCCCCGCAGCACTAGGTCGGCAGGGTGACTTCAGCACTCTCGTCGGCACAGTCGCAGCCTCGCCCGCCTCTGGGCCGAGAACCCTCGGCAAAGATCCAACTTCTTGCTCAGCTGGGACCTTCCGCGGTAGCGTTTTCCTCGCTGCTGCTACCTGCGCGGATTCTGCTTGGGCGCTGCCGTCAATGATTCGATCGTGCTCCGAGTAGTAGTTGGCCGGATGACGTCGTAGAGGTACGAATTCAGCTCCCCAAGGTGGCTCGATGGCGCAGTTGATGGCCTAGTGACCTGCAGGGCCGCGGAGAACGCTCTGGCCACGCTGCGCCACCGCATCTGCTGCCACAACGGGATACTCCACATCGGCAACTTCCGATACCCTTCAAGCCAACGACGTTGCTGGCCGTCGGCGCGTAGTTGCACTGGGTCACCTGCGTTCTCGGCACTGCGCTGCTCCGCGCGCCTAAGTCGAGCATGATGGCACTCCGAAGCGCGGCTAACCGCAGTCGGTCGCTGTCCAGCACCTGCCCCTGCAGGCCCCCGATCTCGAGCAGCGCGGGCCCGACCGCAGCTGACTCGCAGCAGCTACAAGGAGTCGAGCTTCGAGTGCTTGCACTTGCCCAGGCAGTGTTCTGCGCACGCCCCGCAGAAGTCCACTCTTCGCAGTGCCATCTTCTGCCCCTGAACATCTTCTTGCACGAGATGCAGATGAACTCGCGGTACGCGGGCAGGGTGTACTTCCAGTCGATCCTGCGAGTTCGTGCTTTGTGACCTCGGCCCTCAGTCCCAGCGTCATCTTCGCCCGCAGCCCTCTGCAGACTGGCGAGGCGACGGGCAATGCCACTGCGCTCTCGGCACTGCTGCGCGCCCCTGGCAGAGGCTGTGCATGCGTCGTCGACCCTGTCGCTGGAGCTACTCTTGATTGCAGCATCCTCTCGAGCTCTTTCACTATTGCTGTCGCGACCCTCTTCTTCTCTTCGACATGTTCCTTCCTGCGTTGCTTCTTGCCCCTGTTGCCGCGGTGGGCGGCTGCCTTCTTCTCGACGGCCACCCGCTCGCGGCAACTGGCGATTCGGTGGACTTTCTTGCGGCAGTAGTTGAACTCCAGGTCGGCGTCTGGGTTCGGAGCCCCTCATTGCCCTTGCCTCCCACGCCTTTGCCACGGGCTCTCCACGCCTTCTTGCCGCCCTTCAACCCGCCGATGTCCATCGGATCGTCGTGGGCCTCTCGCTCCGCCGTCAGCGCCGACACGACTTCGGCTCGCAGGAGTTCGCACGTGCTCAGCCGACTGCCTCTTCGAAACACGAGCTTCTGCAACTCTGCGTGATCCTCAAGCGCCTTGGCGAGGATTCCTCGCTTGATGGGATTCGACACTGGCTCGCCCGACATCTTCTGGTACCTCGCCATGTCCTCGTCGAACTTGCCGATACTCACAGTCACGTCGTCTGTTGCCTCGAACTTCGCGCCCGTAAGCTCGGCCCACCTCAGCAGCACGTTGCCTGCTTCGTTCGTTATGTACTCCTTCAAAAACTGCCTCCAGCAAGCTGCTCCTTCGCCCGCGCTGCTGTTCCTGACGATCACCTCGCCTACTGAGTCCTCGGGCATGACTAGGACCAGGGCGAAGTACAGCTGCGTGCTTAGCCCCTCCTCTTGGGCTGACAGGTTCACGTTTTCCACGTCCTGCGCTCCATCTTCGCGCTTCTCGAGCAGAGGTCAATACCTTCGGTCTTGCGCGATCAGGTTAGCTTCGCACTGGAAGCTGAACGTCTTCCAACTCGCTCTCTGACCGTCGAACGGCTTCGCTTTGCGAAGAATTTTCGGGTCCATCATCTCGCCGCGGGACCCTCGTTCTCTGTCGGCTTGTCCTTGAAGCTGGCCTCGCATCCCGGCTATCGATAGATCTCGCTGCCGAAGCTCGTTCCTCATCTGCTGACTCTCTGCCATCGGCCTCTGCACTTGCTCGCCCAGCTCTCGCACTTGACCCTCCATCATCCTTGTCGGCCTTCGCCTGACGCTGGAGATCGAGCGCGAGCTGTCGCTTCACCGCTGCTCGTTCCTTCTCCGTAAGCTGAGCTGCGTCACCGCACTCGGCCAACTTCCTCTAAGCGCCCCCTCGGTTCTGGCGGTGGGCCCTCGCCTCTGGGGCTCTGCCACCGCGTTTGTTCACCTTCTTCGCCTTGCGCTCGCTCGCAGGCTTAGCCTTGAAATTGCTCGAAGGCTCGAGTCGAAATCTCGCTCCGACCTCCTTGCCAGGGCGCGGGTCCTCCCGCAGCTCTGGCCAATAAGGGTATACCGTTGGAGAGCAGCGCGGATCGTCTCGCCACTGGCTCCGCGGTCCTACCGCCGCTGGGTTTCCTCGAAGGGCCCCTGGAACTCGCCGGGTGCGGAGCTGGCCCGCAAGCCTCAAGCGAGCTCCACTACCATGCACGTGCTCCCCACCACCGTCGCGGAGAAAGGGGAAGGGATGTATGTATGTATGTCTGTCTGTCTGTCTGTCTGTCTGTCTGTCTGTCTGTGTCTGTCTGTATGTATGTATGTATGTATGTATGTAGGCATATATGCATAAATGTGTATATGTACGTGTATATAAATATATCCGCTGGCCCCCTTCAAGGGCGCAAGGCTGCGAAGGTGTGTGCGGTCAGCTGTCATGTGTTATGTGTTGCCATTCGTTGTTCCTCACATGAATGACATGCGAATCGCCTGTATCCACGGGCCGATACCATCCGCAACCAGAAGCACCCACGGCTATATCGAACGCATCGCCTCAGGGGACCTCTAAAATGTTGTTAACAACTGCCGATTGCCCTTTTTGAAGCGGCCCTCCTGTCTTGGAATCCGTTGCAGGTGCAGTCCAATCGAGGCCAGAAGAACACCCCTCAAAAACATGAGACCCTCCGTCTGCCAGAACAAAGAAAGCATGCAAGGGTACCCTCCCCAGGATGCACAAGAACATCCAACAAACACGAAAGGCACGAGGGCACCCTCCCCGAACCGAGCTCGATCTTTGACTTCAGCCCGATTGTAGAGCGGCGTTCATGCGCATCTCCGAGCGGAACTCGAGGTCAAAATGGTTGTGCCGTGCCGTCGTAGGCATGATGTAGGAGCCGTTCGTAGTCTCCGATCGTGTCAACGCGTCGGCGTTCGACCGATAGCGAAAGCAAGGCAATGCCATGGCGGCGGCGGAAAGTCCCCTACTGGAAGTGACTGCTCGGTGGCGTGTGGCGGTGATGGTGCTCTCTGAACGTGGCGAGCCCTGCGCACATCGGTATGATGCCAAAGATCGTGTCGCAGCTCAGCTGCTAATGTGAATGATGATGTGTTGTTTAGCCTTTGGCGAAAGGGCCCCCTGGGAGCCAAACGGCCGCGAGTGGCGCACGCACGTATCTTATACGCACACTCGATCACAATTGTTGATGATGTTTGCCTCGCCAGGGGTCGTCCAGACGCCTTATAGCAAGTATTGTCGCTGACTTCGGACGTTTCCGGTATCAATTTTGCATGATTATGGGCCCAACTGGGGCCCCCAAAACGGAGCCAAAAGCCGCCCAGATATGGGCCCAGTTTCAATGGAAATGCGAACGGAGCTCGAGCCCACTATGGAGATGCTCGCGCTTGAATCGTCCATAGGCCCGCCAGGGCAGCATCGGGCTCTTTTTGGACCCATTTTTCTTTTCAGGGCCCTATTCGGCCCTTGAGGGCGCGGCTTCGCACTTCAGGGCAACTATTAGGTCGTTTTGGAACCGTCTGTGGCTGGTCGTCAGCAGTGCTCTGGTAATCTGGGGCCTCCTGCTGTGGATGGGGAGCAAAAGTCAGGAGAGCCAGCGCCCAGATCAATGAACCGCTGGTCATGATGACGGGCCGACGACCGATCACCGATTTTTACATCGATCGGTCACGCGGCATACCTAGGCCCAATCGGTGATGAATGCACGTGAAATGAAAGCGCAGGATAAAAATACAAAGCACACCTGTGGGGGTCGTTCACCGTTTTCGGAGTACTGCCACCCTGTCTTGGCGCCGTCTTCGCCTCTTCCGGCGGAAACTGGGATGGGCAGGCGGTGAACGCGAAGCGTCTTAGACTTGAAGGTTCCGCTACTCGCAAAGTAGCTACTCGCAAATGGCATGGATCCGTGGCGTCGAAGCAAAAAGGCTCCTTTGCATCGAGAAACACGTTTACTGTTCGTTTGCGAGTGGGCACTCTGCGAGTAGTGGAACGCCCTCAGTGAGAGGTTGAACAATCAGCCCAAGTAGCTGATTTTCCCAGCGCCTCTCGGCGCCGAGGCGCCAGCGTATCAAGGAAAGCGCCCGCAAGGCGGGGACGAGACCAGCTGCACGCAGCAGAGCTCGTAACACCCCCTGCCCAGATCCCCCCCTTTCGTCCGTCCCGATTCTGTTGAGAGACGGTCTCTTCCTATCAAGATTGGGCGCCCGAGTTATCCGGGATAACTCGGGTCCGGGGTAACTCGGGTTTGGATTCCCGAAAAAGGAACCCGAGTTATCCCTGACCCGAGTTACCCCTGATGATTCGGGGCTCTTGGACGCCCGATTCATCCGGGGTAACTCGGGTCCGGGGTAACTCGGGTTTGGATTCCCGAAAAGCGAACCCGAGTTATCCCTGACCCGAGTTACCCCTGATGATTCGGGGCTCTGACAAGAGGCGGCCTCCTGATGAGCAGCGATAGGGAAGGAACGGCCTCTTCCTATCAAGGGCCGGCCTCTGGAGGAGCAGCGATAGGGAAGGACCGGCTCAGGGGCAGAGACATCGGCGCGGAATCGGCGACACATCGCCATTGGATCGGCGCTTGGCCCCCAGGAAGCGAATCCGCACGCTCTTGGGCGAAGCGGGCCATCGGGACCTTGTGCGCGGTTGAGAGTCGATGCGCGCCCTCCTAAGCCTGACCCCCCCTTGACGTTGCCCATTACCGCCCTCCTCCTCTCTCCGCCTGGCCATGTGGGCGTGAGCCACGTGGGGGGCTGCATCGCGCGGCGCGTCTGCAGCTCTGCCTTCCATGCGCAGCGGTTGTTCCCTCCTCCTCCTTCTGGATCCTGGTTCCTGATGGCACGTGAGCTCTCCGAACGCTGCCCTCCTCCTCCTCCTCCTCCTCCTGACTCCTGATTCCTGAAGGCTGAACAGAACGTCGTTCGTAGCCTTCACTCCTCCTCCTCCTCCTCCTCATCCTCCTCCTCCTCCTCCTCTTCCTCCTCCTCCTCCTCCTCCTCTTCCTCCTCCTTCCATCCATCCCCCATCCCTCTCCCATCCCTCCTGCTCCGCCCCCACCCCCCTGGGGAGAAGCCGCCCCCACCCGATAAGGCCACACGCAAACACGCACACACACACACACATACACACACACACACACACGCACACACACACACGCACGCACGCACACACACACACACACGCACACACACACACACACACACACACACACACACACACGCACACGCACTCGCACACACCTGGCGGTCCTGGCATGTCCACCGCGCCGGCGCCCGCGGGCAGCTCGTCCGCCGAGCCAGCGGCGCCGCGGAGGGACAGCGGCCTGGCGAGGAGGTCGAAGTCCTTTGGGCGGGGCGGTCCCCTCCCTCTCTCCGCAAAGGCAGGTCCGTGGGCTACTGGTCTTTGACGAGGGCGCTGCTTGTGGTGGAAAGGGAGGCTTGAAGGGACTTATGAGAAGGGGACCTGGGACGGGAGGGCGTATTGCAGCAGCGATAAAGTATCTTGGGTTTCCTCTTCCTCCTCCTCCTCCTCCTCAGCAGCGGCACTTGCATCATCATCATTATCACCATCAGCACCACAATCATAATCACCAAAAACACACATCATTATCATCATCACCACCACCATCATCAGCAGCAGCAACATCAGTATCATCAGCATCGGCATTATCACCATCATCACCAGCAACAGCATCATCAGCATCAGCATCAGCATCGACATCGACATCACCAACAGCATCAGCATCATCATCATGATCATCACCACCACCATCACCATCATCGTCTTCAGATCCTCGTTTTACTCATCATTGTCATCACCACCACAACTATCCTCGTCGTCATCGTCATCCCGCTCCTAAGTATTAGCAGCAGCATCATCAGCAACAGCATCATCGTCATCAGCATCGCCATCCTCAGAATAGCATTAAGTATTATCAGCATCAGTACCATCATCATCGGTATCATCACCAGCATCAGCATCATCATCAGCAGCAGCAACAACATCAGCAGCATCATCATCATCATTATCTTCATCATCACCAGCAGCAGCAACATTAGCATCCCCCTCCTCCCCTTCGCCCTCATCTTTTAACGTTCGGCGAAATTGAGCAACTAGGCTGAACGTTCTAGCGACAAGGAAAATAGTAGCATCAGACCATCGTCAATGTCCCACCGCTATCTTGACAGTGCTGGCGCCTGCGGTGGCGCGCTACAGTGCAGGGCCAACCATTCAATTCCCTGAACGTCCATCGGGGATGGCAGGGCCAATGTAACGATGCCCTGGCAGCTGTCAAGGATAGGCCAATGTAAAGATGTCCCAGGCTATTGACTATGGTTCTTGCCTCAAGTCAGACAAAATGTTACATCCAACCCCCTCCACTCGTATCAGTCAATCACCTCCACCTCCACCTCTTACATACTGTCCTCGCCGAGGGTCCTGGACAATTTAAACTCATGTTTGAAGCTGCCTCTGAGAGATTCTGGCGCCGACGCGCTCCGTGGGGTCGCGCTGGTGGTCGGCACTGCTCCTCCCCCTTCTCCCCATCCCCCCCCCCCCCTCCTCCTCTCCCTCCTCCTTTTGCCCGCCTCCCCCCCCCCCTCCCCTTCCTCCCTCCTTCCTTCTCCACCTCCACCACCACCTCCTCCTCCTCCTTTCCCTCTTCTTCCTCATCCTCTTATTATTATTACTCATCCTAATATTCGTCTGGTTATACTGGTTATTCGTTCATGATCTTATTAGTGGTATTATTAATAGTATTAGCATCATCGTTCCTCCTAGTCTTCTCATTCCAATTTTTAATGAGTCATGTGATTCGTCTTCTTCGTCTTCGTCTTCCTCTTCTTCCCCCTCCTCCTCCTACTCCTCCTCCGCTTCCTCCTCCTCCTCCTCCTGCTCCTCCTGCTCCTCCACTCCCTCCTCCTGCATCCTCCTCCCATCATCATCCATCATCATCATCATCATCATCATCATCATCATCATCCATCATCATCATCATCATCATCATCATTCATCATCATCATCACCATCATCATCATCATCATCATCATCATCATCATAATCATCATCATCTCACCAACAACATCATCATCATCATCATCATCAATCCATTTTTCCTCCTCCTCCTCCTCTCCTCCTCCTCCTCCTCCTCCTCCTCCTCCTCCTCTCCTCTTCTTTTTTACTCTTCCACTTCCTCCTCCTCCTCCTCCTCCTCCTCCTCCTCCTCCTCCTCCTCCTCCTCCTCCTCCTCCTCCTCCTCCTCCTCGTCGCATCTTTCTTTTAGTCGCGGCCGCAAGCGGAAGCGCAGGCAGCGTCCGAAAAGGTCGGGCGGGCTACGCGCAAGCCTAATTGCCTAGCGCACGGGGACCGACGGCCGAACCTAAGCTGCCTAAGTTGCCGGGCGGCGCGAGGTGGTGCCAGGAAGCGGGGCAGAACCCGACGCCTGCCGGCGGGCGATGCAAACTGCAACCAGACCAGGATCCGGGGGCAGTGCCGATGCACGAATTGAACCAAGGAGCTATATGCAGTCAAATTGGCGCGACAGGGTCACAGACAGCGAGCTGACAAGTGGCCGCTGAGGGCGAGGACTAGACGTAGGATAAACCACGCGAGGCATCCATGCACCCAGCCCCTGAAGAGGGCAGCTCGCTTGCAATACACTCCAGGAGGTAATACTGACACCGATGGCCGGGAATGCGCCACTGACCAGGAACTAGTACGAGTGGCGCCACCCCATTTCGCATCTTTCACGATACCACGACATTTTGGGGCGGGCGCTTCGGGCCTCGCCCCTCTTTCGCCCCCCCGCGGGGGGAGGGGCGGGGGGCAGGGAGGGGAGAGGGGGCGAGGGTCCGTGGTACGATCTGGCTGGGCTGCCTCCTTACCCCAAGGAGGTAGAGGCGGCGGTGATGCAACGGTGGCACGGCAGGCAGTGCGTGCTCGACGGGAGGAAGGAAAAGGCAAACGAAGGCAGGCCAGGAGGCATCCCACATGCCGGACATGCTGAGAAGAACGAGGCTTGAGGCTGTCCACCAACGGCGGCGCTCCCGAGCGGGAGGGGGAGAGGAAAAGGACAGGAGGGGGAGGCCCCGACCCGTACTGCAGTGGACCACCCTGTCTGATACGCGCCGCCACGCTGGTCCCGGGCAGGGTGTGCTGCCCGGCGGAGGAGGGAGGAGGGAGGGAGGGAGGAAGAAAGGGGCCAAGGGATGAGGGAGCAAGGCGCGGCGGGGCAGGGACCGCCCGGCCTTCGGCGAGACGTGAGCCTAGGTCGGGCGTGTCCACCTACAAGCGGATTCTGGGCGAAAAATAATCAATTTCAAAAGAAAAAAAAATGTCAAAAGTAGTTGACCCCGTATTATCTTTTGACTATTTTTGGATACTCCTCCTGTAGACAGGGGGCGAGGGGCGAAGAGGCACCGAACCCGCCACTACACGGACCTCTCGCGGGCCCGGGGGAGGAGCTCGTCAGCTCGCGGAGGCACCGAGCGCGGCGGGCACGGTGCGCGTGCCGCTCCGCTTGCCCGGTGCACGCCGAACGCAGGGGCCAACCCTCCACTCTCGCGAGAGGCAGCGACAGGAAGAGGAGGAGGAGGAGGAGGAATGAGGAAGGAGGAGGGAGAGGAGGAACGGGAGGAGGAAAGGGAGGAGGAGGAGGAGGAGATGGAGGAGATAGAGGTGGAGGAGGAGGATAGGGCGGGGGAACGGCTCATGGGAGATGGGTGGGTGGGGGGGGGGTGGACGACGACTTGGAATCGGCGATGCATCGTCGATGGATCGGGGATAGGCCCCCGATGGAGCCCGTTCGAAAAAGCCCCCGGCGATCACGCGCATGACCGGCCCCGTCCCCCACCCCCCCTCTAGTCACGTCGCGGCGGTCGTCCGGTGGCGACCGCTGACGTCCTGTGGTGCTCGCAGGCTACTGTGGTGTTCAGAGGCATGTTGTTGTGCTCACAGCGACGCTGTGGCACTCGCGAGGGAAAGCGGCGCTTGCGTGCGTACCGCGTGGTGCTTCCAGGGACGCAGTGTTGTTCTGTTGCCGAGAGGCATTGGTGCGGCGGTCAGAGCGCGGCGCTCGTAGTTGCTGGCGCTGAGTGGTGTAGACGGGCACTCAATGCGCACACGGGCGTTTTGTAGTACGTGAACGTTGCATTGTTCATAGTCGCTGTGGCGTGCTCAGGCACTGCGGGCTTAAATGCAGGGGGCCGTGTCCAGGGCAAGAAACAAGAGGAGGACGAGGAGAGGGAGGAGGAGGAGGAGGAGGAGGAGGAGGAGGAGGAGGAGGAGGAGCACGACGACGATTCCGATGACGACGATCACGACAACGCTGACGACGACGACGCTGTCGACGACGACGATTCTGACGGCGACTCCGACGCTGAGGACGGAGGACGACAACGATGATTCCAATGACGACGAACACGACGACGACGACGCAAACGACTCCGACGACGATTTTGACGGCGACTCCGACGCTGACAACGACGACGACGGCGACGACGACGGCGACGACTCCGACGACGACTCCCTTGATTCCGACGGCGACAGCGATAATTAAGAAAATGATTTCGACGAGGATGGCCGCGACGACGACTCCAATGATGCAGACGAGGATTCCGACGCAGATTCGGCCTACTACCACGATTCCGACGAGGACAGCGCAGACTCCGACGACCACTTCTTCTTCTTCTTATTATTATTCTTCTTCTGGTTCTTATTATTCTTCTTCTTATTATTATTATTGTTCTTCTTATTATTCTTATTATTATTCGTCTTATTCTTCTTATTCTACTACTACTACTACTACTACTACTACTACTACTACTACTACTACTACGACTACTACTACTACTACTACTACTACTACTACTGCTGCTGCTGCTGCTGCTACTACTACTACTACTACTACTACTACACTACCACTACCACTACCACTACCACTACCACTACCACTACCACTACCACTACCACTACCACTACCACTACCACTACCACTACCACTACCACTACCACTACCACTACCACTACCACTACCACTACCACTA